CCCTTTCCCCCTCTATCTCTCACTCGCTCACTCGCTGTTGCCACTGAGGGGAGTGGTCTGCCTGAGCAAGATGGCTGCTGCCATACGGGGATTGAATCAGCACTGAGATCCTGCCATCTACTCTCCCAGTTCTCTCCCCAAAGCCTCCTTCCCAAGTCTCTCCTTAGGTGTCTCTAGCCCACTCTGCCCCTGCCTCTGCCAAAGCCCAGGGTAAAGTGGCAGGTTGTGCTAAAGCTGATTCTTCTGTCTGTCCGAGGTTGTAAGGATCCTCTCGCTATTTTTCAGTTGTTTGTACCAGGTGATTTCTCCACAATTTAATTGTAATTCCAGGTTGGTCCTGGGAGGAGGTCAGTGTGACTTCCATTCACTCCTTTGCCATCTTGATTCTTCTCTAGGTAGCACTATTTTTATCACTGCTTTTACCCTTTGTCAGTCCTATATATTGCTGACTAATGTAGTCTTAATATGTATAACATTTATTATCACTTACAACAACAAGCACTTCACAGTTCTCTGAATATATCATCCTCACTAGTAATTTTATCTTTATTTTATTCTTCCCCTTACCTGAAATATCCTACAATGTCCTTTCTTAAGCTCTAAATCCTTTTTAAAAAATTGTATTATATTGATTATACTATTAGTTTTCCTAATTTTTCCTCCTCTGTCCCCATTCCACCCAGCACCCCCCACTCCTTCAGGCAATCCCCACAACATTGTTCATGTCTGTGGGTCATGCGTATAAGTTCTTTGGTTACTCCATTACTTGTGCTGTACTTTACATCTCTGTGGCTATTCTGTAACTGCCTATTTGTACTTCTTAATCCCCTTACCTCTTCACCCATTCCCCCACAACGCTCTCCCCCCGCCATCTGGCAACCTTCAAAACACTGTCTGTATCCATGATTCTGTCTCTGTTCTTGTTTGCTTAGTTGTTATTTTTTTTAGATTCAATTGTTGATAGATTTGTTTTTTGCCATCTTACTGTTCATAGTTTTAATCTTTTTCTTAAATAAGTCCCTTTAACATTTCATGTAATCATGGTGTTGTGAAGATGAACTCCTTTAGTTTTTTGTCTGGGAAGCTCTTTATCTGCCCTTCAATTCTAAATGATAGCTTTGCTGGGTAGAGAGCTATCTTGGCTATAGGTCCCTGCTTTTGGTGACTTTGAATATTTCTTACCAATCCTTTCTAGCTCGCAAAGGTTCTTTTGAGAAATCAACTGACAGTCTTACGGGAACTCTCCTGTAGGTAACTAACTTCTTTTCTCTTGCTGCTTTTAAGATGTTTTTTATGTTTAACCTTGGGCATTTTAATTATGATGTGTCTTGGTGTGGGGTTCTTTTCATCTACCTTGTTTGGGACTCACTGTGCTTCCTGGACTTGCGTGTCTATTTCCTTAGGGAAGTTTTCTTTCACTATTTTTTCAGATAGAGTTCCAATTTCTTGTTCTTTCTCTTCGCCTTCTGGCACCCCTATGATGTGAATGTTGGACCTCTTGAAGTTGTCCCAGAGGCTGCTTATACTATCCTCATTTATTGGATTTTTTTTTCTTCTTGTTGTTCTGATTGGTTGTTTTTTTCTTCCTTATGTTCCAAATCATTGATTAGATTATCGGCTTTATCCACTCTGCTGCTGTTTCCCTGTAAATTATTCTTTATTTCAATTAGTGTATCCTTCATTTCTGACTAGATCTTTTTTATGCTTTTGAGGTCTTCACTAAGTTCCTTGAGCATCCTTATAAGCAGTGTTTTGAACTCTGCATCTGATAAATATTTAATTTAGCTCTTTTTTTGGAACCTTGATGTGTTCTTTCATTTGGATCATACTTCTTTGTCTCCTCATTTTGTCAGCCTTCTTCTGTTTGTTTCTATGAATTAGGCAGAGCTACTTTGGCTCCACGCCTTGGTAATGTGGCCTAATATAGTAGGTGTCTTGTAGGGTCCATTGGTACAGCCTCCCCTGTCACCCAGGCTGGGTTCTTGAGGTTTTGAGGACTGAGTACACCCTCCTCTTGTAGTTGAGTCTTGGTTACTGTTGACAGATCAATGGAAAGGATTTACCCAGGCTAGTCAGCTGCCAGGATTGGCTGTGACCACTTGCCACAAACCTCCACTCTCCCTGGAGGATTATTTGTGCAGGGGCAGGGTGGTGGTGATCTGATGTGATCTGTAGCTGTCCACTGGGTGCGCTGGCCCAGGTCAGCCGCCACCTGTTTTTTTCTGGGGGCACCTTGCCTGAGCTATAAAGCAATCTGAGATGGCCACTACTTATGCTGGGCTTGAAGATTCCCAGGGGAATCCAAGCTGTGAAAATAGGCTGGCTGCTGCGAGTGCCAGGCCTGGGGCTCACTGAGGCCAGCTGTTAACTCGTTTGATAGGATTTAGGAAGTTGTGAAGCATGAGCCAGGACTAGCCATTCATATGGAAAAGGAGCTTGGGTGGGCAGAGTCTCTGGGGATTTCCAAAGTGGGTCCAACAGTGTTAGTCAAGTTGATGGAGTCTGAGATATGGCACCAGCTTACCAGCTCTGTGGGGAGAGAGTTTAGAAAAGGGATGATGGCCTGTGCTCGCCTTGATGCCAGACACTTCAGTTTCTCCTCATTTACCACTGGTGCCTTTCAAGCTGCCACCCCAGTGCTGGAGCTCAGAGGGAGTGAGTCTGAATAGGTGAGGCCATATGTGCATTCTTTAAGATAACTGCTTGAGGCTCCTAGAGTTTCTTCCACCAAGTTAACCCCTGCTGGTTTTTGTAGCCCGAAGTTGTGGGGACTTACCTTCCTGGCACTGAAACCCTAGACTGGGGGTCATGGTGTGGGGCTGGGATTCCTCACTCCAAAGATATCCCTCCCGAATTTTTATCCACCCCAGGGATGGGTATGGGACCAGCCCATTCTGCATCTGTGCCCCTCCTGCCAGTCTGGATGGATGTGGTTTCTTTAATTCTGTAGTTGTCAGGCTTCCATTCAACTCAATTTTTGACAATTGTGACTGTTGGTCGTTCTAGATTTTAGTTGTAATTTTGATGTGGCTGTGTGAGGAGACGAGCTATGTCTACCTAAGGTGCCAGCTTGACTGGAAGTCTGAAGCCTTAAAGGCAACAGATGTCATTCTTACTCCCTTTAACATTTTTAAAAAACTTTTGAACCCTTATTATGTTCCCAAAAGCCTGGATTTCTCAGATAAATTGATTATTTTATTATATTAGATAGGTTGTAATTCATGTATTTTTTTTTACAACTCAAATACACAAATTTCGATGTATTATGCATTATTAAAGTAATAGAGAGAATATAATGAATAGTACCATAATTCAGACACATCTGAGATGACACTGGTTGTGTGGGGGGGAACCATTATTTTATGTCTTACAAAGAAAAATGCCACTATTGAAAAACTACTACATGATTGCAAGACACATCCCAATTTCAGATGTGGTAAAATGTACATCTGTGAAATATGGTATAAGGAATACTGTTTATTCACCACTCAGCCTACAAAAAATAAAGTCAGTACAGTTGAAGCCTCCTGTGTACCCCTTTCCCATCTTATGTACTCCCCCATTCTGAATTTGGTATTTATCATGTGGTCCTTTTGTACATTTATTGAATAGGTGTGTAACCCTAAGTAACATCTTATATAATATTAGTCTTTTTTAATACCAGTTTTCCTTCATTATACTTCGTTATAATGATTTTTGAATAAGACTCCTAAAGACACTGAAGAATTTAAGCTCTTGTAGTTCTTTGTTTTAAACAAGTTTTAGGGGCAGGTCTTTCTAAATTGCTTATTCATCACTTAAAATAAATGTCAAGACTGTTGACTATGAAATACATCAGCTCAAGTTTTTATTGTGTTTCCTTCAGTTTTCTGATTCTTTTTATTTTGCTTCCTGTGGGGAGATTACAAAACTCCTCACCTTCTGTACACTAAAGAGGAGTTAGGTTACACCTGTCCCCATTGCATATACAGTGTACCTATGGACAGTTAGGATTGTCCCCAGAGGAGCAGGTGTTTAGGGTGGTCCTCTGGGAACATTCTAATTGACATAATGTTTTATCCTCCTCATTTCTTAGAGCCAGGTGAACTGTGTAGCTATAAAAATCAGGACTACGGTCTTAAATATGCCGTTCAGATGCTGTGCTGAAACTCATTTGAGAGGGAAGAAACCTCCAATCAGCTGTTTGAGGAGCTTTTTAATAACAAATGAGTGCCTTCTGGTCTTCATTCTGTTACCCTCTCAAACTAGGTTCCTGGTCAAAGAGAGTCATATTGAAGGAATGGAGAAAAAGTTCTTAATGGTGATTCTTACTGAGTTAATATCCCACTTGGGCCCTTAAAGGTTTCAGGCACTATATTTTTAAGAACCACTGTTATGTTATTTTAAGGAAAAAATAGTTGCTATCTCATCCTACGTTTAACCCTCATTAATTGGTCAAAAGAGCTTGAGTCCTTTACCTCCTTTTTTTTTTTTTTTTTTAAGATTTTATTTATTTATTTTCAGAGAGAAGAGGAGGGAGGGAGAAAGAAAGGGAGAGAAACATCAGTGTGTGGTTGCCTCCCGTGCACCCCCAACTGGGTACCTGGCCTACAACCAAGGCATGTGCCCTGATTGGGAATCGAACCGGCAACTCTTTGATTAGCAGGCAGGCACTCAATCCACTAAGCCACGCCAGCTAGGGGGAGTTCTTTACCTCTTTAATGTGGAGTATACTTTTGACTGCTGCTTTCAGGACTTACTGCACTTTTATTGAGAAAATAGATGCTGCTCTGAACTCTAGAGTCAGCCTTAAACTAGAGATAATACTACTACCTTCTGAGAGCTCTCATTTACTCTAATTACTGATGGATGTTGTTCAGGTGATGCTTTTGCTTTTCTTTTGGAAGCAGCTACAAGGTCAAGAATAGTATTATAGTTTGAGATTTTTCCTAGAGAAATAAAGTTAACTAATTTATAGTATTAGACTGAAATTTAGCTTTTTAAAAAATTTATCTTTATAGGTGTGGACACTGCAAGAGGCTTGCCCCTGAATATGAAGCTGCAGCTACCAGATTAAAAGGAATAGTTCCGTTAGCAAAGGTGAGTATAGGTGGATTATTCATGAAAGGAAATAAGGTATTTTAAGTATAGGTTGTTTTTTTTTTTTATTTTATGTGTTTATTTTCAGAGAAAGGGAGGGAGAAGAAGGAGAGAAAAATCAATGTGTACTTTGCCTCTCGCATGCCCCCAACTGGGGACCTGGCCCACAACCCAGGCATGTGCCCTGACTGGGAATCAAACCGGCAACATTTTTATTGGCAAGCCGGCACTCAATCCACTGGCTGCTGTGTCTCAGCGTGTCTTAATCCACTGAGACACACCAGCCAGTGGATTAAGTAATAGTTTATAAAACTGGTATTTACTTTTATGGTGCTAAGAAGAGAGAACACTAGTTTCTGGGTAAATACATAGCTGACTGTTGTATCAATTATGATTTTAAATGATTCAAAGTGGAACTAAGGGAATAATTGGCGAAAGAAACAAGTAAAATATGATAAATAAGAATTAAAGGGCAAATATGGAAAGTAAAAGTACAGTAGTCGAGGTCAGAGGAAAATTATTGTTGAGTAAATTAGTTTCCTCAACTATCATATAATAGTTACATATAGGAAAATGACATGAGGATGTTGATAAGTATGTAACTAACTGATCAACTGTAAACTTAGTATGTGCTTTTACAATCAAAGTAATGCTCCCAGTAGTTTGCAGTTATTCTGTATTAAACCCATAGTTGTTCCAGTCTTAAAGTTCACATCTCAGCCAGTCTCAAATAGTCATACGTATTTATTTGGACTACTTGAAAATGCTTTTAATTCTAACATTTTATGGCAGCTTGCCACCGGAAAAAAAAGGTATTCGGTCTTGATTTAATTTCTCTCTCATGGCCATAGCCTATAGACACATTACTTTTCTGAACCTCAGTTTATATTAAAGCATTGGAATTATACCAAATGACTGAATAGGTGGAAATTATTTTCCCTCTTCTCACTGGTCTCACCAGCTGTCATGTTACAGTTTAGCTCAGATTCATACTAGCTCAGGGAGTATGTTCAAGTATTAGTACCTTTGCTAATAACTGTAGGTGATTTGCCAAATCAAATTATACCCCACCACAACTAAAGGGTGTGTATACCTATCCATATATCCCCTTGTTGATAATCATTACCAGAATAAGCCACTGTTACTAACTTAAGTGATTTTTCCCTTATGTGTTCTGAGGCAGAAAAAAGATGGAGACTGCTTTAGACAATAGAGACTCCAAGGGCAGAATTTAAACTGTCATTTGTGTGTTTTGTATGAGGCCCAGGAGTCTAAATTTTGAAGATTTCCTTAGGTGGTTCTTATGTAGCTAGCCTAGCGCACCATTCTGCCTTTAAAATCTAATGTTCTGTGGTATGTATGTAAAGAATTGCTTGATGCCTGTATGACTTGACCAATCTTAATACTTTGGGAACATAGGAAGAACCTGTAGCAGGCATTTGGATAACAAGTGGTTTATGCATTTTAATCTTTAGGTTGATTGTACTGCCAACACAAATACCTGTAATAAGTATGGAGTGAGTGGATATCCAACCCTAAAGATTTTTAGAGATGGTGAAGAAGCAGGTGCTTATGATGGGCCCAGGACTGCTGGTGAGGATCCTTATTACACTGAGAAACTGAATTTGTTAAGTACCCTATTGTTTGGTGGTGGGAACATGACATTTTTCTATGCAACATATTTTCAGTCTTTAAAATTCCTCATCTAAGAGGTCAGTTTGGAAACTAACAAAAGACTTCTCTAAATGAACAGATTATGTAAGTAATACAGAAATTTGAGTTATAAAATCACTAGGCATTTTTTTTGACAAATACTGAGTACTCTGTGCTGGTCCTCAGTATATATGGTTAAACAAAACAGACAGGGTTCCTACTCTTGTGATGCTTACATTCTGGAAAATGAAGAAAAGAAGGCAACAAACAAATTTAAAAATATAGATAATCACCACCTCACATCCATTAGGATGACTACTATTACAAGCAAACAAAACACAAAAAACAGAAAATACCAAGTGCTGGTGAGGATGTGGAGAAATTGGAACCCTTCTGAATTATTAGTGAGAATGTAAAATGGTGCAGCTGCTATGGAAAACAGTATGGTGGTTACTGAAAAAAACAAAAAATAGAATTACTGTGTGATCCACCAGTTCCACTGGGTATACATACTAAAGAGTCAAAAGCAGGGTCTCAAAGGGATGCTTATACATTCGTGGTTTTGGCTTCATTAGTCATGATAAATCCAAATGTCCATCAGTGAATGAATGGATATACAAAAGGTGGTGTATTGGTGATATTTATGTGTAAATGTGTATATCATACAATAATAAACACATTTAAAAGGAAGTTAGGACATGAACTACAACATGGTTGAACCTAGAAGACATCATGCTAAGTGAGATGAACCAGTCAGAAAAAAGACAAATAGTGTGTGAGTCCATCTGTATGAAGGTCCTACAGTGGTCAAATTCATAGAGACAATGTAGAATAGTGATTGCAGGGGGCTGTAAAGAGGACAGAATGGGGAGTTATTTAATGGAGTTTCAGTTTTGTGAGATGAAAATTGATTTAATTTATACTGTTACAAACACTGTACTACATTTTTGGCAGGGTTATAAATATGTATAGTTTCTTTGGGATGCAATTCTAAATGCTTGTAGTCTTTGACCCAGCGAATCCACTTCTTGGAATTTATGCTACAGATAGATACACTCAACCATGTGCAAAATAACATTAGTATAAAGTTGTTTATTTTAGATAATTTGTAACAGCAAGAAATTTGAAACAAATGTCCATTGTTGCTTGTTAAATAAATTTTGGTACAGCCATACAATAAAACACTGCATCTATAAAAAAAGATTGAGGTAGCTCTGGATACATTGACATAAATTATCTCTAAACTATGGTAAATGACAAAACAAAACACAGAATAGCATGTGTGCACACTGCCTTTTGAGAAGAAAAGAGTAACTATGCAATTGCTTGTTTATGCCTAATATATCAGGAAGGTTATATAGAAAACTGAAACCAGGTAACTAGGGACAAAGGTGGGAAGAAAACTTCATTGCATATCTTTGTGAACCTCGTGAACTTTGAATGACGTGAATGGTTGGTTACCTTCTCAACAGTTATAAATTTGTTACCATAATCTTTTCTCTTAAGATGGAATCGTCAGTCACCTGAAGAAGCAGGCAGGACCAGCTTCAGCTCCTCTTAAGACCGAGGAAGAATTTGAGAAGTTCATTGGTGATAAAGATGCTTCTGTGGTGGGTAAGTAGCAAATATTTGATTATGCCACAAAATCATCATCTTGGTTTAAGAATTCCTGAATGTCTGAGTAAACAACAAAGTTAAAACAGCTTTGGAAACATTCAGAGCAATTAAAATTATAACTCACAGAATTAGCTCAGCATTACTGTAATGTGGGGGGGAAATGGTCTTTTGAGTGTCTTTATTCTTACAGATATAAATATTTAATTTCAATTAAAAGGCTAAAATAGTATCTTCAGCTTTTTCTATCATGTCTTAAACTCTGAACTTTAACTCAAGTAATAGGATAGATAAGACGGAAAATAGGGTTTTAAGATGGGAGGATGCAAGTAAATAAGAAACCTGTGTCTGCTATTTTCACAATCTTAGGGCAATTTAAAATTTAAGATCAAATTGCTAGAATTTGTGTCTATTTTTAAATAACTTGAGCAAATTAAACATATTCTAATGTTGGGTGTTCTTTGTTTTGTTTTAAATGTATAATACATTTGACTAAATAAATAAAACTGACTTTCTAGCTGTAGAAGATGGTTTATAATTTAAATTTGACTGGAAGCCACTTATCTGGATTTTACTGATTTTATCATTTGGATTTTACAAGGAATTAACTGCAAGCAGACATTTTTTAAAGTATATTTTATTGATTATGCTATTACAGTTGTCCCAATTTTCCCCCCCTTTACTCCCCCTCTGCCCAGTACCCTCCTTCCCTCCAGCAGTCCCCCCTACCTTAGTTCATGTCCATGGGTTGTGCATATAAATTCTTTGGCTTCTCCATTTCCCACACTATTCTTAACCTTCCCCTGTTTAATTTATACCTACCAATTTTGCTTCTTAATCCCTGTACCTTTTCCCCTATTGCTCCCTACTTCCTTCCTCTGATAACCCTCCACATGATCTCCATATTTATGATTCTGTTCCTATTCTAGTTGTTTGCTCACTTTTTGTTTTTGTTTTTTTAGATTCAGTTGTTGATAGTTGTGAGTTTGTTTTCATTTTACTATTCATAGTTTTGATCTTGTTCTTAAGTCCCTTTAACATTTCATATAATAAGGGCTTGTTGATGATGAACTCCTTTATCTTTATCTTTACCCTGTCTGGGAAGCACTTTATCTGTCCTTCAGTTCTAAATGATAGCCTTGCTGGATACAGTAATCTTGGTTGTAGGTCCTTGCTTTTCATCACTTTGAATAATTCTTGCCAGCCCCTTTTTGCCTGCAAAGTTTCTTTTGAGAAATCAGCAGATAGCCTTTTGAGAACTCCTTTTCAGGTAACTCTCCACTTTTGCTGCTTTTAAGATTCTCTCTGTAGTCCTGGCTGGTGTAGCTCAGTGGTTTGAGCATGAGCCTGTGAACCAAAGGGTTCCCAGTTCGATTCCCAGTTAGGGCACATGCCTGGGTTGCAGGCCAGGTCCCCAGTACAGGGCACACGGGAGGCAACCACACATTGATGTTTCTCTCCCTCTCTCCCTTTCCCTCTCTCTAAAAATAAATAAATAAAATCTTTTAAAAAAATTCTCTTTATCTTTAACCTTTGGTATTTTAATTATGATGTGTCTTGGTGTGATCCTCTTTGGGTCCAACTTTTTTGGGACTCTCTGTGCTTCCTGGACTTGTATATCTATTTCTTTTGCCAAATTAGGAACGTTTTCTTTCATTATTTTTTCAAACCCGGTTTCCTCCCCATAGGATAAAATATCAGTTTTCAGTTTCTTGCGCTTTCTCTTCTCCTTCTGGCATCCCTATGATTAGGATGTTGGGCACGTTTGGAAATGTCTTATTCTCTCCTAGTTTTTTTGAATTTTTGTTTCTTCCTTCTGTACTGGTTGACTTTATTTCTTCTTTATGTTCCAAGTTGTTGATTTGAATCCCAGCTTCCTTCCCTTCACTGTGGTTCTCTGTGGATTTTTCTTTATTTCACTTAGTGTAGCTTTCATTTCTTCCCTTATACTTTTGCCATACTCAGTGAGTTCTCTGAGCATCCTTATCATCAGTGTTTTGAACTCTGCGTCTGACAGGTTGGCTCTCTCCATTTAGCATAGTTCTTTTCTGGAGTTTTGATCTGTTCTTTTACTTGGGCCATATTCCTTTGCCTTCTCAATTTAGCAGCCTCCCTGTGTTTGTTTCTGTGTTTTAGGTAGAGCTGCTTTGACTCCATGTCTTGGCAGACCTGTTATATTGTAAGGGAAGGAGCCTTAGATATTCGCCAGGGCAGGGCAACCCGCTTCACCAGTTCGTGGCCCCGTATGTGGCGGAGGGGTCAGAGGAAACAACTCTGCTTGCTCAGCACTCACCCTGTTTCTAGTCACTTTGCCCACTTCCCCTATACACTGGCACCCCTCTAGATGTTGCCCTGGTGGTGGTTCCCAGAGTGGGTGGATTTGTGTACATTCTAGGACCATGAGGGCCCTTTAAACGGATTCTCCTGAGAGACCAGCAGTTTCTTCTGCCACCTTAACCCCCACCAGTTTTTACAGCCAGAAATTATGAGGCTTTATCTTCCCAGTGCTAGAACCCTGGGCTGCATGGTCTGGCCTGGAGCTGAGATTGCTAGATTCCCAGGTGTTCCTCCTGGGTTTTATCCACCAAATGTGAATATGGGACCACCTGTTCTGCCAGCCGCCGCCTTGCCAGCACCACACCAAGTCCTCTCCATGCCAGCTCCCTAGATCCACCCCGTTTACCTGTTTGGATGAATATTCTCCAAATCCTTAGTTGTCAGACCTCCATATAGTTTGAATTTCTGGCAGTTCTGGTTGTTTTTTGTTACAAGGTTAGTTGTGGTCCTTATGGTTGTGCAAGGAGGCGAAATGTGTCTACCTGTGCCTCCATCCTGGCCAGAAGTGATCTGCAAGCAGACATTTATTATACACTTGTTTCATTCACTTTTATAAACTTGAAGTTCTAAAGACAAGACAGAAAAAAATATGAAGTAATTTACATTTGTTTTGACATATTGCCTTATTTAGTCCTGACACTAAGAAGTAAAGCAATTAGCACATATTTATTCCATTGTGAAAGACTAAGGTTAAGACTTGAACCCTAGGGCCTAGCTGGGTAGCTTAGTTGGTTTGAGCATTATCCTGATACACTAAGGTTGCACATGCATTCCTTTTTTTTTTTTTTTTTTTTTAATTTTTTAAAAGATTTTACTTATTTTAGATAGAGAGGGAGGGGGAAGAGAGGGAAACATCAATATATCCTTGCGTCTTGCACACCCCCCACTGAGGACCTGACCAGGCCTGCAACCCAGGTATGTGCCCTGACCCAGAATCGAACCAGCAACCCTTTGGTTCACAGGCTGTCATTCAATCCACTGAGCCACATTGGCCAGGGCCAAGGTTACAGGTTCAGTCCCTGGTCAGGGCACATTCAAGAAACACCAATGAATGTGTATAAATAAGTGGAACAAATTGATGTTTCTCTGTCTCCTTTCCTGCCTCTTCCTAAAACCAATAAATAAAAATTTTTTAAAAAACGAAAAAACAAAGACTTGAACACTGATAAATCCTCTCCCTTGGTTCCTTCAAAAATATTTTTCTAAAAAAGAAGTCTTATCCTAAATATTTTGTCAGATTTCCTAGATAGTTATGGCAAGCAGACCCAGTCCTGCTGCCTACTTTGCTTTTCTTGTTCATTATACAATGAAGGCTTTAAAAACTAGAATAATTTAAAAATTTTGAATTATGTCTCAACACTTTGCTTCTTCCATGTGTTTGACATTTTCCATATAGGTTTTTTCAAGGATTTATTCAGTGAAGGTCACTCTGAGTTTCTAAAAGCAGCCAGCAACTTGAGGGATAACTACCGATTTGCACACACCAATGTTGAGTCTTTGGTGAACAAGTATGATGATAATGGAGAGTAAGTAATTGAGATGAATGCCCTTGTAAATCTCTGGACCAATGCTGTTGTGTGAACGGGGGATATTTAATGCCAGTTTTTCTCAAAATGTTTATTGAGCATTTGCTAGGCATTAAGCTAAATGCTGGGCACTGGTGCGATCTTTGAGGGGCATTAGTAGGGGGAGGCAGTGGATATTTGGAAAAACTGTAAGTGAGCATTGTAGGTGCTGTGATAGACATGTATGCTGGGTGTGGTGGAAATACAGAGGAGGAGTGATTTTTTAGGGGGAGGGTGGCTGCCATGTAGTATCAGAAAAAACTTCATAGAGGTGACTCTTGAAGTGTGTCTTGAAAGCTGGAATTTTTCAGGCAGCTTATAGCAGTTGGGATAAAAGTTAGTCCAGATATAGCGGCAAGTGTTCAGGCCAAGAGATGTTAAACAACCTAGGCATGTTGGGACCTGTAGTACTGTTAGTAACTGAGATCATAGTGAAAAAGGTAAGGCTGGAGAGGTAAGTAGAGGCCAAATTATAGATGATGTTAATTGCCATGCAGAAGAGTTTAGATTTTATAGTTTAAACATTTGAGAGTCCTTGAAAGACTTTGAGTTGGGAAATAATGTGATTAATTTTGAGTTTTAGAAGAAAAGTCACTGGCACCCATATGGTGGGGGTTTGAAAAGGGAGAGGTAGCAAGGCAGTTAAGAGAGTCTAAACTTAAGGGTGATTTGGGGGTCTAAATTAAGACAGTATTAGGGGCAGTGGAGAGGAAGGAGTATTTAAAAATGTAAACAATAGTATTCAGTTTCCAGTCATGTGTGAAAAAGGAAAAAGCTAGAGTGAGTCTAGGTTTCTAAAGACTTGAATTACTGGGCCCATGACAGTCACCATCAAGCTGTGAAAAAGAAGAGGAGAAACAAATTTGGAGGGAATGCTGGTGAGTTCTATTTTGTCACAGTGAGTCTGAGAAGTTTCTATGACATTCAGGTGATGAGGACCCAGTGGACAGATAATTGGATAGATGAGGCTAGAATTCAGGAAAAATCCTTAACTAGAGATAAAGATTTGTAGGTCAACTACATATGAATGATTATGGAAACCATTGGACTAGATGAGATCACTCAGGCTGAGCACATATAGTTTTCTTTAAGTGTGCCAAGGGCTAGTGCTATTTATTCATATTGAACAAACTGTGTAGTGTTTTTACTATGTGTCATTTACTGTTAACTCAATGAATCCTCTTAATAACCCAGTGAGACAGATCTATTCTTTTCTCCATTTTACAGAAAAGAAAACCCTCAGAGAGGCTAAGTAATTTTTCTAGTTTCACATAGTAAGTGGCAGAACTAGGATTTGAACCTAGAAAGTCTGGCTGCAGAGTTGGTAGCCTTGATCATAAGGCTCTTCCTTTTAGATTGAGAGATGCCAGATCTGTAAATGGATTTAGAGCCACTTGTGGCTCATGAAGGACACCATGTGTCAGCCTTTTAACCTTAGATTTGTTCATTGTGGCTGCCTCTTATGCTTGCCCTTTAAAGTGGGCTACCAGCATCTGATTAGAAGTTTTACTGAGAAGACCTAATGTGAAGGGTGTCTTAAGGTCTTCATGTGCAGTACACACAACTGAGGCCATATCATCATTAAAGATAACTGCCTGGTTTCTCATTTTTTGAGAAAAACTGCTCTGAAATTGGTAACTGTACTTTAAAAAAAAAAAGTTCACATTCTTGCTTGTCTAGCATGTTTGTATTAGGTTCCCTTTTGCTATATAGTTTCCCTGTGTTCTATGAATGAAAATGCCTGTATTTTAATGTACATAAAGTTAATGGTTAGTATTGAAAGACTAGGAGAGGGATGTTAGGACTTCAGGGATGAAATTTGTGTAGTATGGGGAGGAGGAATGAATGAAGGAGAAGCTACAAGTAGCTTATAGTAGTAGTTAGAATAGTGACATTTTCTATGAAAGTTGGTGTTAGATATAAACCTGTGACTCAGAACCAAATTGGGGTTCAGTTTTACTTGAACAAAAGACTAGAAATTAAAGAAGGAATTTGCTTTAAGTATTCCAATGGTATGAGGAAAGGTTGGCTTAGGTAGAGTTGCAAAGTAATGCAAGCAAGAGAAAAATTGGTAATTTTGATTTATTGGTATAGAGAAGTTTAGAACAAAGGACTTTTTAATGAACTGAAGCCAAACATTATAATTGTATACCTACCTATAGAATATTACAGCTGTAAAAAAATCTTAAAGATATTTTCTCTAAAGTAATTGTTTTTCTGTGTAGGAAAGTGGCAGGGTAAGAGCAGGCTTTCAGTAAGAGCAGGCTTTGCTTTATTTTATTGTACATATTGGGGCGTTGGAGGAAGTTGGTTCTGTTTATTATTGTTTTTAAAGGTTTAAAAGTTAATCATCTACTCTAATCCCCTTTTGTACTCATTAAAGAGCTGATTCCAGAAGAATTAAATTAATACCTGGTGCAAGGAGATTAATGTGGTTAGCACCTTGGTGTTGATAAGGAGGTCATATTGCCAAGTCTCGTCCCAGAAAGAGTCCGTATGTGCTTAAATTAAATGGTGGTAGTAAAAGTGGCATCAAGAGTAGATAGTCTGAGCTTTAAATAAAAGATGGGAGACAGTTCTGCTGCAGTCTACCTACTAAGGCTTTTTTTTTTCTCTCTCTCTCTCTTTTAAAGGGGTATCACCTTGTTTCGTCCTTCACATCTGATGAACAAGTTTGAGGACAGAACTGTGGCATATACAGAACAGAAAATGACCAGTGGCAAGATTAAAAAATTTATCCAAGAAAACATGTAAGTACTTTTTTATACCTTGTTTGGGATTTCTTGGCTTCACTATATTTTGTTTCTAATAGTTGAAGTTTATATTAAAGCAAGCGTGGGCACTAGAACTCCATTGTCCTATAAGGTATATAGTTCAGTAGTTGACCTATATGTTGAAAATTTCTTTCCTTTTAAGTGCTGTCAGTTACTTTGATAATTCCATAATACAGCTATAAACCTACCAAATTTTATAATGGATTATTTCATTTCAGTTTTGGTATCTGCCCTCACATGACAGAAGATAATAAAGACTTGATACAGGGCAAGGACTTACTTGTGGCTTACTATGATGTGGACTATGAAAAGAACGCTAAAGGTTCCAACTACTGGAGAAACAGGTAAGTCGTTTTTCCCTTTTATAAACAAGTTTACCAGTGTGTAAACAATTCTCCTAGATAATCCTGTTACCATGTGTGGTGGGGAGAGCAGATAAGAATGGAAACAGTTTGTTCCCAAAAATATTTAAAGCCATAAGGACACATAACATAAAAACTATTTCTAAAAGCTGTTGGGCATATCTTCCATAGGTATTCCTTTGCCTTGTGATACAGCTAATTACTTACCTCTGAGTAAAAGATGCAAATGTGATCTAAACCGTACTCTAAAACATTGTGCCTACTTGCCCATTGAGACTCTCAGTGCATTTTAGCCTTATAAACTTTCTTTTCAGATTAGTCATTATGTCTGCAATATCTTAGATATATCTATATAGATATAGAGATATCTTAAGATTCAGTGGGAATGGACTATTTGATTGGGCATCACCGGTATGGCAGTGAAGTCCAGTGAGACACTGGAGTATACCATAGTCCTGTGCCAGTGCTCAAGAACACAAGTTCAGACTGATTCCAGAGGTCTGAATAAACTGTAAAATTTAGTCTTTGCTTTCTAAACTCTTGGCTTTTTAGTTTCAGAAGTGCTTTACCACCTTGATATAATCTTGGCATAAATTTTTTATTTCCCACAGGGTGATGATGGTAGCAAAGAAATTCCTGGATGCTGGACACAAACTCAACTTTGCTGTAGCTAGCCGCAAAACCTTTAGCCATGAACTTTCTGATTTTGGTTTGGAAAGCACTGCTGGAGAGATTCCTGTTGTTGCTATCAGAACTGCAAAAGGAGAGAAGTTTGTCATGCAGGAGGAGTTCTCGTGAGTTACAAGTTAGCGTGGGTTTGGGATTTGATTCTGCAAAGAAATTATTAAAAGCTTTTTATACTAAGAATTTATAAAGAATGTTCAAATGTGAAGATAGGTCCTCTAGTGACTGTCACTTTTCTCAATTAATTATGGGTACTTGAGGATCATCATCAGTAATAAATTCTGAAAAATAACAAAAGGATGGAAGCTTGAAATTCTTGCATGATTATTTCCATCCTACTATTAGAAAGAGGGCTATAGAGAACACTGGACAGTGTCTTTGAGATTGATATAATTTTAGACCAACCTAATCCCTGCCCAACCCCACAGAATGTTTTTTCTTCTTGAAATATCACAATGGCCTAAAGTAAACTCCGGCAAGTGGAGAGGTCTTGAGTCCCCAGATAATATTGACTTTGACCTTATGAGACTTTGGGAGATCAAGACAAGCAAAAAAATCTTCCTTGTGAGCAAATGAGAAAAATGAAATTCCATAAATAGCACTGTTCTTTAGAGCAACAAAATAAGACTGGTTCTTAGACAGAATTGAATTTTTAGAAGACCAATGTTTTCTTCCTTCTCTACCCTTTTTAATCCTCAAAGCACACACTAGAAATACAAAGAAGTGGTTGGTTTTTTGTTAGGTGAGCAGTCCTGCATACTGAAGAAATAAGAGCGCCCTTCCCCACCTTCCTTTTTAAGCTTCTGGTTTCTTTCTAGTCTTGAAATTAAAGGTAAAATATGTAGAAACTATTCTAAGAAATTGTTTTTAATCCTCTCAATGGTGGGAGGAAAGTAACAAACCTGACCCTTGTCTTTCCAATTGACAGCCGTGATGGCAAGGCTCTTGAGAGATTCCTGCAGGATTACTTTGATGGCAGCCTGAAGAGATACCTAAAGTCTGAGCCAATCCCAGAGAACAACGACGGGCCTGTAAAGGTGAGGTGCTCACAGCCTCTCCAAACTTCAACACAACTGCCTCTCATTTCTTCCAGAAATTCTGGGTCTAAGTGAAGACCTTGTTGGCTATCACGTTTTTATTCGTCCTTGGCTCCCAACCCCAGACATAAAAATAAGCATTAACAGACTCATAATAGTCTATAAGGGCAAGAGTATAACACCTTCCTAGAATTTTCTGGTGGTATTTATATCAGAGTTAGGTTACTCTTCAGGACAGAGCAAGCTAACCCCTAAGAATAATTTTAAGATTGTTGCTGTGAAATTATTTTAAGGAAGGATTGGGTAGCACTTGTTTCCTGCAACTTCTGGACATATTTTTGACAAGAGACAGACATAGGAATGTGCTTGTTTCTGGGGAATGGTAACATTTTTAATAGCATATATATATGTGATTTAGGTTTCAGTGGCAACATATCAAATTTGATAGGGATTGGGTCCAGAAACAAATATAACTCATGAATTTATTCTTCAGCTCATCTTACCAACTAGAGAATCTTTTCTGTTTTCCAGGTAGTAGTAGCAGAGAATTTTGATGAAATAGTGAATGATGTAAACAAAGATGTGCTGATTGAATTTTATGCTCCTTGGTGTGGCCACTGTAAGAATCTGGAACCTAAGTATAAAGAACTGGGAGAGAAGGTAAGTCTGAACCATATTCTGAAGATAAAATTTTAGTTAGGATGTTCACACACATATTTAGTATTGGCTAATTAGTTAACCCTAATTAGTTGAGTGCTTGAGTACTTGCAGTTTTTTCCAGCTATCTACTCCTGTTAACTCACTTTTTCCTGACTTCCCCTTCATTTCTGCCTGAACGAGTACCTCCAATACCTGCTTTAACCCTACTCAAATTCAATCTAGAGTACAGTTAACAGTATCCAGGCTTCTGAATTTTGGTAATGGCTTATACGAAACCATTATGTTCTTTTATCTTAAAGTACTTGGCTCAGCCTTTACAATGTCTTATTTAGCCTAGGTAGTTTTGATGGTGGTTGTATATAGAGTCTTACTTAACATGGCCCCAAGAGAGAAAAGGGAAACTTGTGGAAAAATAAGATACTATGTGCAAGTGTTAACTGCTCTCCGTGTCTGAGCAGCAAAATTTATCCGTTTAAAAATATTATTGTTTTAAATCCTGAATTAACTAAATGCCCCTCAGTCATTGAAAACTTGAAGTTTAAAGATCTAACCTTTTTGTTAACAGCTCAGAAAAGACCCAAATATTGTCATAGCCAAGATGGATGCCACAGCCAATGATGTGCCTTCTCCATATGAAGTCAGAGGGTAAGTAGATTAAAAACTAATAAAAACATATAGGCAATTAACAAAAAAACATAAGCTGGTAAACCACTTTTTTATTGGGTATAATTTGGGGAGCTCTCATACTCTAGTTGAACACAGAACTGCTGATGCCTTTCTAGTTTTAGAGTTCTGCAGCATCGACCTACATGATTGCAGCTTTTGCAAGCTCCCATATTCCTGAGTTTTGGTAGGATGTAATCCTAGCCACTGATGGAGACTGGTATCCCATCTCAGATTAGAAATCATGAAGAAAAGTTATTCCCAGAAACAGTTATTGGGAAAGTGTGTGTGAGTTACTCTGGAACAGACACTTAATCAACTATTTTTGTTTTTTCTTCCTTTCCCCAGTTTTCCTACCATCTACTTCTCTCCAGCCAATAAGAAGCTAGATCCAAAGAAATATGAAGTAAGTGCCTTGTCTCATCTCTCCACAAACAATCACACACATATTCACACACGCTTGTACATACCTAGCTCTTCAATTTATTTAACTGGAAACTCTTCCAACTCTCATTGTCAATATATGTGATTATTATTGTGCTTTTACAAACGCAGGGATCTTCCTGTTTGCAGCGGAGGGGGGGACCCATGGCTCCTTAAAAACTTAAATTTTCATAGTAATCTTTCTGTTTTCAGGGTGGCCGTGAATTAAGTGATTTTATTAGCTATCTACAGCGAGAGGCTACAAACCCTCCTATAATTCAAGAAGAAAAACCCAAGAAGAAGAAGAAGGCACAGGAGGATCTCTAAAGCAGCAGCCATACATGCCACTTTGTAAAAGACTCTTCCACCAGAGCTGGGAAGACCATTGGGGAAGACTGGGACCCATATGGGATTATTACCTCTCAGGGCTGAGAGGGTAGATGGATATAATCTGAATCCTGTTAAATTTTCTCTAAACCGTTTCTTAGCTGCACTGTTTATGGAAATACCAGGACCAGTTTATGTTTGTGGTTTGGGGGGGAAATGTGTTGTGGGGTTGGGAGGAATTGTGTTGGGGGGTTATTTTCTAATTTTTTTTGTACATTTGGAACAGTGAAAATAAATGAGCCCCCTTTAAACTATCTTTTTTCCATGATGGGCAGCCAGGGGTTCCCTAGATCAGCATTGTCCAATAGAACTTTCTACGATAATGGAAATGTTCTATAATCTTCATCGTCTAATACATGTAGCCATTGAACTTTGAAATGTGGCTAGGAACTACATTTTAAATTTTCATTAGTCACATGTAAGTCTGGTGGCTACCATATTGGTCAGTACAGCTGTACACCAACTATCTGGGTCCACAGTTATCACCTGTAAATGCTTTCCAAATTTTGTCTCTTTCTAGCCTTAGATATTTATTGCCCATACTCCCAACTTGATAATTAGAACAGGTTAAGGACCTTTCTTGTTGGCCTCTCTTTCTGACCCTGTCCATGCCTTAAGGATAGATTGCTATATATCCTTGCCATGCAGCTGAGCATGTTCATACCTCCCACGGTCTGTTGTCTGCCTATAAACGCCCTGTGTGGGAGTGGCATCAGATTGGGGTTCCATCCAAGTTGTTTCAGGAATTGCTGAGACTGCTGGGGTGCAGCTCCCTCTCTCCACCAAAGCCCAGGGTGTGGCCTATTAACTTTCCAGCGGACTGGGAAGGGCAGTATCATTCCTGGTTGTGAGTGAAGCATCCACTTTCTTCTGCAATAATGAGGAATGAAGTGAAACATTTCCCCTCTTTTTGTGAGTAAATCCAAATCATATCCATGGTTTGTTTCCAGTCACTGCATATTTCCAGGTAGGAGCCCTGATTTTAAGTGATCTTCAACCTTCATGCTTAGAAAAGAACTTAATCCCTACTGTCATCTCTGGTTGTCAATTATAAAATGGATTTGGTAGGGCCTTATAGCAAAATATGTATCAGGATCATCTATAGTTCTTTGAAGTAAAGAAGCCTAACCATAATCTTGGAGATTATAATTCACAAGACCTGAGCTAGCATCTGGAGATTTTAATTTTTAGAGGAGAGAGGGAGAGAAACATCAATGTTTTGCCTCTTGCACAGCCCCTACTGGGGACCTGGCCTGCAACCCAGGCATGTGCCCTAGACTGGGAATTGGACAAGCAACACTGGTTCACAGGCAGACACTCAATCCACTGAGCCACACCAGGCAGGGCTGGAGATCTAATTTTTTTAGAGATCCCAGAAATGGTTCCAACATGGAGCCAAGGGTAAGAACCACTGCATTGGAAGATTTAAGGAAAGCATATAAATTTGTATAAAGGACACAGTTTTAATTTTTTAGCCATGTTTGTAAAAGAATTCGCTTTCAGTACATGGGTAAGACCCCAAGCCTTTTCCCATTATATCTAGGTGTATTACAAGTTCCTAAAAGTTCTCACTGTTTTGTAAGAGAGGCTACCAGGTTGAAATCTATTGTCTTTGAGGTATCTTGTCCTGGAAATGGTGTCATTTCTCAGGATTTGAAAATGACTTGACTGAACTACAGGAGAAGCCAAGCCTCTGCTGCTTTTCCTAGTTTCCCGGGCACAGTTACAAAGTGTTGGCACTGTGCCCACACCCTAAAAATTAAAATATGGCAACAATGACAATAAAGCCTTAACCTAAAGCAGCTCTCCTACTGCACCATGGACTCAGCAATAACCAAAAGCAGTTGCAATCTTATATATGTTTATAGCTGCTTTGTTCCTTCATATCACCGGGCAGAAGGTCAAAAGCCCTCTGACTGCTTCAGCTGCCCCTGTTCTTTTCCTCAAACTCCAGGATGAGACCTTTAATGTGGGACAGTTTCTGATGCAGGTACTCACAGCGACGCTTTTCTTCCCTGTAACCTGGGTACCGCTGCAGAGAAAAAGGATCCATGTCAAAAGAAAATTTTTTTTTTTTTTTTACCCTTGCTACCACTCCCAGACCTATTCTTACCTTCCTGAACTTTTTATATTCCTGGACTATCTTTTCTTCCAGCACCTGAAACAAACAAAATGCTAGCACCAAGTTTAACCTTGAGAAAAAAGCTCCAGGTCTCCTAAGGGAGGGAAGTAACTTCCTTCTTACGCTACCAAATGATATAGAATAATTTTTCTCTCAAAACAGGTTTGCTTGTCACTTTGGTCACTAAACAAACAGGTTTATGGGCAGTTAGCAGGGAGTTTATGGCCAGTGGAGCAAGAAAGTGAGCCCGGGTCCAGTCCTTACCTTGTGTTCTGGAGTTCCTCGCTGAACTCTCTTGATTTCTGCTCCCAGCTCTATGAACCTTTGGCTTGCAGCCCCAACTCGAGCATGCAGAATGCGGTATTCAACATAATCTGTCTCAAAATCCTTCTCATAAGCATGTTGCTGCTCTGCACTGTGGATGGCCCCATATTGCCTGCCAGGAGCAGAGAGTTAAGTTACCACCTTCAATTTTATTGTCCCCCAAAGCCCCTGGCTCCCAGAAAGTACATCTTGTATCTCCTATGCACAAGGCTTGATAAAATCAGAAATGGCAGGGCACTCACAGGAGGTAATCGGGTACCTCTTCAGGGCTTCGGGATTCCAAGTCTATGAAGGAAACGAGAAGGCATTAAGGTGATTATCTGCCTTCCCCTCCTCGCGCCTCTCCTCTGCTCCCCCGTGGCAGTTTTACACTCCTCTCAACTCACCTGCTTGAGCTGAGGGGCTGTGCTCAAGCCTGAGGCTCATGTCTTCATGTTTATCTTCTTGCTCCCAGTCTCTGTCTTGTAGGTCCTGACTGGGCAGCTCTTGTAGAGGACTTGGAGCTGAACGCAGAGTTCTGAGCCTCTTTTCTTTTAGTTCTATAGTAGCTGCAGGCGCTGGACGCTTCTGTTGGGGAAAATACTTTTTGTCACACAGTTATGTCAGAAGCCTCCTGTTTTGTCATTCTCTTGAAAATTACTCCATAAAATGATCTCTGTGAGCATGAGAATGAAGGCTCCCAATTTTTAAATTTTAGTCTGACTGGACAAATAATTTTCTCATATCCTCACTCGAGGACATGCTCACTGATTTCAGAGAGGGGGGAAAGGAGGGAAATATCGATGTGAGAAAGAAACAATTGATTACCTCAGGCACCCTGCCCAGGGACCTAGGCATGTGCCTTGACGTGAATTGAACCTGCAATCTTTTTGGCTTATAGAACTAACCCAAAACAACTGAGTCACTCCAGCCAGGGCTGCAAAACTCTTGCTATGACAACCTACCTTGTCCAGATGTTTCTGGCTAGCAGAGGAAGGCAGTGCCTGATCAAGCACTCTGTTTGGACGATGGGTCTGGCTCCTAGGATATTTGAAGAGGGAATGGGAGAGATGAGGACCAAGGCAGAAGGTAGGGCTGTTTCCTATACCATATAGGGTGGAAATTTGAGGAAGACAACACCAGGACCTCCCAAGTGTTCCACCCTGCCCCAAGTACCTCACTTCCCACTGTGCCATGTGTTCCCTTGAGGATCCTGGGAGTGACTGTTCTTGGCTACTTGCCCGTGGATCTGGCACCTGGCAGGGAAAGTGGCACGGGCACTTGGCTACCTGGGCTTCAGGCTTTGCCCCACCTTACCCCAACTCCCTGCAGTTTCTGGCCTCACCTCTTCTAGTACCATCAGTGGCTGTGAAGCTGCATTTCCAGAATAGTCTCCTATGTTCTGCCAATTCTGAGGATCTCTGGCATCTTCAGTCAGGCTGTATCTCTGAACTGAAGATGGGGCTGGGATAGAATCCATGGCTGCCCAAATAGTGAGGCGCTCCCTGAGTGGGCCCAGGCAGTGGAGGCGGTTAGGCCTGGATCTGGAAAAGGGTGATGGAAAATAAATCAGGAGGACAGGGAACTTTCAAAGCATCTCTGAACAACCCCTTCCTGGACTCACCACAAACTCGTTTTCACTTGCTACCTGTTTGATCCCCCTTACCTGCCTAAGTGTTGGCACACAAGATCCAAGCCACCACGAGGGCCCTCCTGGCCACACTGGGACACTATGAAGGAGAAGAGGCAGGAGCAGCCAGGGCCTGGGAGCCTCAGATACTGCGGGTGAAAGGAGACCATAAGCCCCATGAAGTCAGCCCTTCCCCCTCCTACCAGTACCATTCCTCCCTGAGACAACCTAAGACTGAAGATGGGTCCCACGGGACTCGTTAGCACACCAGGTGCAGCTGAGCCTAAGTTCCCACGAGGCTAAGACAGCACAGTCTCTTCAACCGCAGCCTCCTGGGACCACAACCCCAGCAGCCCTCTAACCACTCAGGGTTCAGTTCTCAGGAACTTCCTCAGACCGTGACTGCTCTCAGCCTCCTGCCCTGACCGTACCTTCCTTGGGCGTGTGTCTGTTCTCCCACCCTCTTCACAGAGCCTAGATCCGTGCTTACCCCTCGGTTGCCTTGGAAAGCGATCACTGGCCGAACCTGCAAGGAGAGCACAGACTCAACTAAGCGCAGGTGAAGCGGAGTCCCCAGGATCTTGCGTCGGGTGCCCAGAGGGACCTGCCTCGTGGACTTCACTTGGAAAAGTGGGGAAGCTGAAGCCTGTGAATGCTGCTCCCCATACCCAGGTCCCTTCTTTAGGGTCTCCGGCTGAGGCCTGAGGTCCTGAGGGGTAGGGGATACGGAAGGGGTCCGGGGTAGCCGCACCTGTTGACGCTGACACTCTTGCAGCGCCCGCAGCGCCGCGTCGTTGAGCCTGAGCAGCAGGAGGCTGGTCCGGGCAGCTGGGGTGAAGCAGAGCCGGAGCTTCCCACTCAGAAACTCTTGGGGTCCCGCCATAGCCGCGAGGTCGAGCACAAGCAGAACCCGAAGCACAGGCGAGGGCCACCACCACCACTTTCGCTCTGCAGGGCTAGACTTGCACAGCCAGTAGCCCAGGTAGACCCCGCCCCCAGCCAGAACCCCACCTCCGACCCCACCCACAGTTACCAACACTCCCGAGGTTTCCCAGCGGCGTGGGCGGTGCTTCGCTCTCCTCCGGGGTTGGCGTCAGCTCCAGCGGATTCTTCTCGGTTTGGACGGAACCTCGTTAGGTTTTCGGAGGGGACTCTCTCAGTTCCGGGGAGAAAGGCTCTGGCCAGTCTCACCCTCTTTCACCCAGAATCTCCAGTCCTGCCTCAGTTTCCCCAGCCAACCTGAACTTGGCGTTGCTGTCTCTAAGTGAAGCTGAACCTGCAACCTCTAGAGGCTTCTAGGTGCAGAGGAGCGGGAGAGAAGGCCTGGTTGCTAGGAGCTTGGAAGGCCAAGAGCCCCCAGGGTCCGGAGGGCGGCGGACGTGAAGGGGGATTCCCGACTCCAACACCTGCTGCAACACTTTTGCTTTTATTCCGCCCGTGGTACTGATGCATACCCGAAACCGGTTTCTAAGGCTGGAGAGAAAACTGGCCCCGTCAGTGTCGTGGCAGTAGTGAAGCTTCGCTATCGTGGGCTGGAACGCCCCCCACCGAGGGGTGGGGAGCGTGGGTGAAGGCAGAAGAATTGCAGGGCAAAGAAGAGGGAGGACTCAGTCCTCTACTGCCCCGCCCAGCCTAAACATGTGAAACTAATGTGAGAGGGAATTGGCCCACTCACTGAGAACGATAAAAAGATGCCGCGAAGTGCTAGACATTCCCAAGGTCCACATCCTGGTGCAATGAGACCCCAGGACCAGTCTCAGGTTGGCCCTTGGTATTTCCGGTCGTCCCTATTTGGGTATGTTTCTCAAGATCCCTGGTGGTATTCTCTTTTCTAACCAGGATCCCTCTGCTAAAAATCTAAACATATAATCCCAGGTGACCTTAATGCCCTACACCCCAAATCAAATTAACTATACGTACATTTGTCAAAACTCATCAAATTGTACTTAAAATTGTATATTTTAATGTATGTAAATTATACCTTAATAAAGTTGACTTTAAAAATCAGTGCAGCAAACCTCAACAACAAAAACATTTACTGGTCCATGTCCTTAGGGCTCTCTACTTCTCTGAGTGACAATTTGCTAGTTTGATAAACAGTTGTGGCAATGGGTAAAGTTGGTCTCCCAGGGTTCCTTTTCTTCTCAGATGACGTCTGTGGCCTTTCATTAGATTTTCCTGGATTTAAAATCAAAGGGGAGACTAGAATGGTGAAATTTCCCAGAGAGGAAGGAAGGAGCAGTGTTGTAAGAGGAGGCAACTGGGAAAGATATTTGGGGAAGGGAGGTAGGGATCTATTTGTTGAGTGTCCATTGGGTATCAGGATGTTTGCCCATTATTTAAACCCTACAATAGCTTTTTAGAGCAGATACTATTGTCCACATATTTTATTCATTCAACAAATATTTATTGAACACTCTGTACTAGATCCTTGCTTTGGGGGAGCTTACATGCTAGTGGGAAGGAGATACTATAAACACACCTAAGAAATAAACAAAAAGTATAGTGCATGGATTGTGGGGGAAAGTTGAAGAGGGTAAAGGAGTCAAATATATAGTGACAGAATGAGAGTAGACTTTGGTTGGTGAGCCAGCCCCTACTACAATGCAGTAGACAGATGATGTATTACAAAATTGTACTCTTGAAATTTATATAATCTTATTAACAAATGTTGACCCAATAAATATAATAAAAAACATAGTATATGTTAAAAGGTGGTAAGTGCTATAGAAAAAATAAAAAATAGAGCAAGGAAGTAGAGGAGGAGAAAGTAGAGAAGGGTGGAGAGGGTTGACACTATATTAAGTAAGCTGATCAGAGAAGGCCTTCTGTAGAAGAAGAAATTTGAGCAATGCCCTAAAGGAGGCAAGGGAATTGGCTAAGCTGTACAGTTGGAGAAAATGCTTTTCAGACAGTGAGGCTAGCCAGTGCAAACTCTGTGAGTCAGAAGTGTGCCTGGAGTGTTTGGAGAAAAGTTGAGGTCAATATAACTGGAACAAAATGAGTGAGGGGAAGAGTAGTAAGAGAGAAAGTCAGGAAGGTAAGGAGTAGCGGGGATTAGGTCAGAGAGGGCCGTGTGGGTATTGTAAAGATTTTGGTTTTTACTTTGAATGAAATAGGGAGTCATTACAGGGTTTCGAGCAGAGGAGTAACATGAAGCCAATTCTATTTTAAAAGGATCACTCTGGTTGCTATGTTAAGAATAGACTAGAGGACAAGGATAAAAGCAGTATGACCTGGTAGGAGGCTATTGCAGTAACCCAAGCTAGAGGTGGCGGTGGCTTGCACTAGGGAATAACAGAGCAGGTGGGAGAAAGGATAGGGTTCTGGATATGTGGAGGATAGAGGATTTCCTGATGGATTGAATGTGGTATATGAGAGAGAAATGTCATTAAGGATAATTGCAGGACTTTTGCCCAGACAACGAGAAAGATGAAATTGTCATCAACTGAGGAAGGGAAGACTGCATGTGGAACAGTGTTAGTTCTGAATATGCTGAGTTGTCTAGTAGAATCCACATGGGGATGTGAAGCAGGCAGATAACACAAATCTGGAGAAGGTGAAAGATGTCTGGGCTACAGATCTAAACTTGGTAGTACTAAACATACATGTGTGTTATATGCCTTTGAGTCAGCTCCAACTCCTGGCGACCCTACGACTGAGTGATGTCCACAATGTCCTGTCCTCAACAGCCCTACTCAGCTCCTGTAGAATTATGCCTATGGCTTCTTTTGTGGAGTCAATCGCTCTCATATTTGATCTTCCTTTTTTATTGTTGCCTTCAATTTTTCCAAGCATTATTGTCTTTTCCAGAGAACCCTGTCTTTTTATGGTGTGCCCGAAGTAGGACAGCTTCAGTTTTGTCATTTTTGCCTCCAATGACTTTTCAGGTTTAATTTGCTCTAGTACCTACTTGTTCATCTTCCTGTTGGTCCAGGGTATCCATAGAGCTCTCTCCTACACCAACTTCCAAGTGAACCATTTTTTAACTTTCAGCTTTCCTCACTGTCTAACTTTCACATTCATACATAGTAATTGGGGATATGAGGGTCTGGATGATTTTAGCTTTGGTCTCTAATGACACATCTTTACAACTAAACATATAGATGATATTTAAAGCCATGAGGCTGGCTGAGATCACCCAGAAAAATAGAGAAGAGCCTAAAGGATTGTACCCTGAGGCACTCCGATCTCTAGAAAGAGGTCAGGGTGAAGAAAAGCAAGGCCAATTGAAAGGGAATGGCCAGTGAGAAAAGAGGAACACCAGGAACACCAAGAGAGTGTGATGTCCTGAAAGTGAAGTGAAGTGAATGTTTCACAGAGAAGGGACTGATCAACTGTGTCAAATGCTGTAGATAGGCCAAGTAAAAGGAAGATTAAACATTGAACACTGTAATGAAAGTTTTCTAAAATTGACAGTGGTAATTGTTGCGCATATCTGTGAATAAACTAAAAATCATTAAATTGTACACTACATTTCAAATGGGTGAGTTCCATGATATATGAATTCTATCTTAATAAAACTGTTTATACAACAAGGCCTGTCTGGAAAAAGTCTAGTCATTGTTAGTATAACAAGAACAGTTTGTATGACATCAGTGTAACATGGCAGCCAAAGAGAGTGGACTGGAATGCACCTGTGTGAACAATGACAACTTCAGTGTACTAGTCATTGGGGTGGCAGACACCATTTGAGTGAGCATGTGTACTGTGTGGCTGTTGCATTCAAAATGAGCAATGAATTTGCATTAAATTTTGCGTTAAGATTGAACATTCCTCTGTGGAAACTATTTGGATGACTCAGAAGCCTGCAACTAGGGGCAACTGGTGATTGGCAGCTTCACCATGACAATGTGCCCGTTCATGCACTGATGTTCGGCAAAACCACAAATCACCCAGGTGACTCAGCCCCACTACAGCCCAGGTTTGGTGCCCTGCGACTTCTGGCTTTTCCCCAAACTAATGTCACCTTTGAAAGGGAAGAGATTTCAGACCATCAATGAGATTCAGGAAAAGATGAAAGGGCATCTGATGGTGATTGGGACAACTATGCGAAGTCCCAAAGTGCCTACTTTGAAGGGGACTGAGGCATTATTGATTCTTGTATCTTCTTCAATAAATGTCTCTTGTTGTTCATAGTATGTGGCTGTATACTTTATGGACAGAACTTGTACACATATATACATTTTATTTGTTCATTTATCTGTCAATAGACACTTGCATTGCTTCCATTTTTGGCTATTGTGAATAATGCTTTAATGAACATGGGTATAAAAATACCATATTTTTAAAAATGTATTTAAAAACATTACTGTGAGGCCGTGGCTGGTGTGGCTCAATGGACTGAGTGCCGGCTGGTGAAACAAAGGGTCAAAGGTTTGATTCCCAGTTGGGGCACATGCCTGGGTTGCAGGCCAGGTCCCCAGTCAGGAGAGCACAAGAGGCAACCACACATTGATGTTTTTCTCCCTCTGTCCCTTCCTTCTCCTCTCCAAAAATAAATAAATCTTTTTTAAAATATGTAAAAAAAATAATAAAAATAAAAACATTACTATGAGGAGGGGTCCATGACACACAAAAAAGTTCTGAGTGGTCTGGCTAGGATTTGAACTCAGGCCACCTGGCTCTAGAGCCTGTGGTTATTCTTCACATTTATGATATGCCCCATCAGCAGCCTATATTCTTTTACATCAGGACAGGCTCTGCATCAATATTTGAAAGAGGAGGAAAAAGACATCTCCGAGGTACGCATGCAACCCTATTTCTATAGTTATTATTTTGTGTCTTTTCATCCCTTTTTCATTCAAAGTTTCAGATGTTATCCACTGACTCCTTTTTTTCTTTTTTAAAGATTTTATTTATTTTTAGAGAGAGGGTAAGGGA